GTATATAATTATATTCGCAAAAAGAATTTTTATATTTATTTGCTTAGTGGCGCGTGTGTATTTTGACAATGTATACACATAATTCAGTTAGTTTTAATGTCACATCTTGGCAATTTAAGCAATAAGTCGTGGATAAAAGCACTTCCAGCACTTGCAAATTGATTAATGTCCACTTAAGGCTGAAGGACAGCGACATATAAATTGTATATGATGGAGCCATACCTGCCAAGGGAACAGTTCACTTTAACAATTACTGAAATGGAAGTGGAATAAGAGTAGATGATGGCTGGCATAATGCAAGCTGAGCCAGCTCTGGCCTGGCAATAGAGCAATCAATAACTAATCAAAAAGAGAAACAAAATGTTGCAATTACCTGTCAGGCTGTCAGGCTGTCAGTCAAACGTGTGCCCAATCAAAATTACATCAATCAGCGCATTTGTGAGCGACTCTTGTCAGCTACTTGAAACGTTAAAACTCTTTTTGTTCCCTTTGCTTTTCTACTCTTTTAATTGATGCTTTGTCGTCTTTTGTATTTTTGCACATTTCAATTGCGCTTTAATGACGATTCGACTCGATTCGATTCGATTCGATTCGGTTTCATCTTCAACTGCTATCCGCTCCGAAATCGGCTGGATTATGTCGTGGGAGCGCCCTGAGGCCCCAAAGTCAAAATTTCAACTACGTCCACTTATGTACACTTTGTGTCGTTTGCTTTGTTGCCGCGTCCCGGCAACTCCGCGCCCACCTCGGCGCGCGGTTGCCTCTCAATTTGCGTTTCACGCATCGCGTTTTAAGTGCTGCAAATGTTTCCAAACATTGCGCATATTTCGCATCTATTTGATTTTCGCAACAATTAAAGAAATTGCTGTGTGAAAACTGCGAAAAAATCATTTGCGAACGTGCTTCAAGCTGAGTGACTCATCGTTGATGGCACTGACAATAATTGCTGCATGCCCCAAAACTGTTGCCACTCAAATATGTTCCCTTGTTGGGATCAGCTCCATTAGCTAAATTGCAAAGCATTTTGATTTGCTCTTCATATAATAAACGAGATCGTTGATCCACTCTTTTTGAGCCAATCCATTTTCATATGTCTTCATATATCTTATACAGTTTTCGATAAATAATGATATTGAAAGGCACTCTAATTATATATGTAATCTTTTATAGATTTCTAGATACAAAATTCTTAGTTTTCACTTATCAAATCAAAACAAAGGAATATTCAGAAAGTGAACTTGTTTGCTTCTAGAACTTCTCAGTTCTATCATCAGCAGAATTGTTTATCAACTATTGCTTTGACTGGTTACTTTTATAGACAATATTCAGTTCAATATCGGAATTATCGGATTAATCTCTGCATATGATATATTTAGTATGCAGTATAACTCTTATTATTTTGATATTTCACTAATTTCTTTCATATATTTCTTTCTGTTTTCTAGAGTAATATTTATCTATAGCTATCTATCTAGCTTTATTTGTTTGTATATATATTTCTTTATTTTCATTTTTTTGATATCTCAATTTTTCGAAATTTACCCTTAAATACCTTCTTCAGTTGCTGTTAGACACTTTTTATGCCTTGAACTTTGAAATTTATCCTCTTGTATATCATACTTTGATAAAACGTACCTCGTGTATATCATGAGTACTAGCTGATCTTCCTTTTCGATAACTCATCCCATTTCCATATTATCGATAAAGATCGATAATTTAGCTTCGTTTTTTAAGCGCAGCTTGAATATAGTAAATGTTGTTGACTTCAGGTTTACTGTGTAGGTAATGAATACAGAGGTTTTTATATATTTTCTTTCACTTCTAATTCACAATAGCCAAGTATCTGGATGCCCTGAACATCTAGGTGAAGTGTTCTTTTAATCTAGCCGCCTTGGCTTACGTGGTTTACCTTTAGATTATGTTTGTATAATTAAGTATTTATCTAATGCTTGTGTGACCTTCTCATCATCTAGTTAGGCGATTTATATGTAAAAGCAGTGAGCGAAACTGTTGCTACTTCAAAGGTTTCTCTCTGTTTATGTAAGCGGCGCATCAGCCGAAGTCAGTCAAAGTCCTCTGCTTGCCGTTGGCAGCCAAGTGCAACGATAATTGTGTTTCCTACAGCATTTTTTGCTGCAGCACGCAATGCACAAAACCAGTTGCAGCTCCCCGCTTACAGATCTCAGCAATTGAGGTTGAAAACTAATTATGTTATTGACAGTGCCAGAAATTCTTTGGAAATTCCCAAAGCGGACTTGCAGACGTCGTTGACATGCTCATTACCAAATACCAGATACATACATAACAATATGATATCCGCAAATTTTTTGGACACCTATTTATTTATTTATTTATTTTTTGATGGTCTGGTTGGCTGCTTAGCTGCTTGGCTACTTGGCTGTCCGTTTGGTCATTGGCCACTGACCATAAAAACCATTTAAAATTTATAAATCATTCAACGTAGTTTGCGAACGCAAAAGTGGCCACAATTAAATGCATTTTTGCACGTTTGTTAACCTGAGAGCCAAAAAGAAAAGAAGAAGAAATGAAAAAAAGAAATGATTGTTGGTTTTTTGTTTTTTCTTTGATTTGATTTGCTTACCTGTGTGTGTGTGCGTGTGTGTATTGAAGTAGCTGGCTTTGTACTAATTTTAATTTAACGCACATATTGAAAATGAAACTTTTCACGAGCTGAATTTAATTGGCTTTTTAAATTTGATGCGTCGATGTTGTAACACTCAAGTCAAGTTTGGATCGCTTTCTACTCCAAAGCCGCTAAACTTCGAAAATATTTATGACACATACAGCGGTAACAGCGCGTGTGTATGTGTATGTGTGTGTGGACTCTTACTTAATATGAAACTGGGTCATTACAGGCCCAATGCGAGCGAGATCTTTTCAATGAACACAAAGGCAAGTGATGGTCAATATTTATTTATGCACATATCCACATATACAAGCATTCAATATATATATATATATATATATATATATATATATATATATATATTTATATAGTGCTTTTTTACAGCGTCAATGAGAAGCCATCATCGTCGAACCAGTTGACGCTTTGCGTTGGGCCACACGTGCACCAAAGACCATCAATTATGATAATGTTTATGACGCTCTCAAGAGGGGAGCTGCCAAGGGCGTTAAACTTTATGGCCATTGCTGATGGCCAGTGGGCCGTTAGCAGCTTGCGTCTGGCTGATGACAGGATCGGATCTGCATGCAACTGGGTCAACGTGCGTAATAGCCACGCCCAGCGCCATCCACAGCACACCAAATCGCATAACCTAACACAAATATTTGCTGCTCAATTGGCTCTGACTGTAAAAGTTGCCTCCGTTCGGCAGCGGCAAAAGCAGCAGCAGCAGCAGCAGCAGCAGCTTTGCGCGCTTTGTTGACAGCTGGAAACATAAAATTTACATGTTATCGTGTTTACATGCGCACCACTTTTATTGACAGACTGTACGTCTTACTGGCAAATACAAGAAGAAAACACACACACACACACACACACACACACGTACACCCGCAGAGGCATAGACGAGTGATGTACATACAAATGGCACTGCGAGACTGTTGCATAATTCCATTCCAAAGGAAGCAAAGCTCACAAAGCATAGAGAAGCAGAGCTCGCATAGTATGAATTATGCGTATATAAAACTAAATAATATGTATATAATAAATAATATATATAATATTATAAAAATAGAAGTGACCTCAAATGAAAGGCAATTCTCTGATTAGAATTGAACACAATTTGGATGCCATATGCCAAGAAAGCAAGACTAACAAAAGAATAGACATAAATAACAGATTCATATAGCTCATAATATGCATAACCTAATCTCTTAGAATTGAAAACAATTAACAATAAGAGACAGCCGTAATTACTTACAATTGTAAACCTTATAAGAATTAGAATGTCTAAATAAGTGAGATTAATGTGTAATTTTTTGTATACTTAATGACAAGCCAAATCTCTCTCGACTCTAGAGAATCTATGATGACAAACATATGTCACATACATTTATTTAATTTGCTATAATGATTGTCTGTCAATGCATGTAACAGGCAGAGCTGACTACATCAGCTTCCTCGCCCAGCGTTGGAGTATCTAGAGTGGAGTGCCCGACTAGGAGCTAACCTGAGCTCAATATTGAGGAAATGTGTGAGGTGTGAGAACAAGTCCTTGTTAGATGTCAAACTTGCTCTTTAAGCTAGCGAGATATGGAAACAAATTTGATATAGGTTTCAGTAGATAGTGAAGTGAAGCATTTCAAGTTGCTTTCCCTTATGCAGACAGACGAACCAGTCTAGATCGACTCGATCATCATTATCAAAAATATTTGCTGCCTTCCAATGCCTGTTGCATACGTTTTAACAGAATGAATTCCCAGAAATGCATTATACAATGTCTACAGTGGGACAGAGAAAGAAGTCAGATTTTCTTGTGATGCTTGTCTTATTTATTAAAGTTGTTTTAAGTGATGCAAAGATGCGCTATCTCCGACGCATAGCTGATTTACTAGGATTCGGTTTATGGCACTAATTCGAAGTGGGCGGCAAGGTCAGAGTTCAAGAGCCGTGCTTGGAGTGGGAGCTGTAATAATTGTAATAATTGAAGCTTAATTTGTTGGCGATTTGATGGGGCAATTTTCCAGTTAATAAACTTGAAGCTGTCGTCTATGTGAAGTGTTAGAAAAATGTGGCTCGTGTTGCCACTTGCGCTGGGGCAGCCCAAAAACTCGTTAGCGCTACTGCCAGCAATTGAAAGTTGTTAAGTGACTCAAAAACAAAAACAAAAACAAAAACCAAAACAATTTCGCGTTTACTATTATTAGTACTTTTCGTCAGTAGCATGTTGTCTTGCTGCAGGCTGCGAGAGTTATGGCCGTTTACCCCAGCGCTTATTGACTCCTGTAATGTTCACACTTTATTAATAACGGTTGCAATTACGGAAAATTCTAATGTCTCATTTTTTTGTCTTTAGCAAACTTCACACAGCTGCAGCCAGCCGCCAAATCTTCGCTCACACAGCTCCGTGCACACACAGCAGCCGGCTGGACCCGTGAGAGAAATACAAATTGATCCATATATAATACTCGATGACGAACTCAAGTATTTCTACGACGATGTGCGAGATGTAAGTACAGCCCAGCCAGCCGGGCCACATACTTCACTAATGTAATATGGCATGTGTCTTTCCCCCATATATTTCACAGAACTGATTTATGTTTAAGAGACCTTTTTGCCAACTGCCAAACATAAATATGTTGATATATATTTATTAAGTAACAAATTACACAGCATGAGACACGCAAATAGGACCAAACCAATTATTTCCTATTTCCAATTACGGCCCAGAACTGGACTCCACTAAATGCGTCACATAGTCCAGTCGGGGTATTTTCCATATACCCTATAGCTGTTGACACATACGTGTCAATAGAAGTATATTCGATTCGAAAATACCTGGCAAAAATGTGTTTTTTCATTGTGACTTGGGCTATCTGCCCAAATGTTGGCAGAGTTTCGTGTGTTTTCTGTGAGTTATTCGTTAGACTAACCTTAAATAAGAGAACCTGAAACAGAATTGCTTAAATAAATAACAACATTTCCTTCTGGAAAATTTATACCACTGACTGGTCAAAATATCGATGTGTGATACACAAAAATTAATTAGTCAATTTTAATTTACTAATTTTGAATAACTCAGATTGCCTAGCTAACCGGAACTGTAGAGTATAGCTAATATCTAGCAGAGGTTTCAAGTACATGCAACCATTTTGTTTCAAATTACAGGGTATTCGAAAAGTCAGCACACAATGTATTTATGGTCAAAAGCCAGCCAGACTCTAGCGACTCTATAGACTCTATAGACTTTCTGCTAATTTAATTGTTGTCGCTGCTTAAAATAGTATCTGAATTAATTGATCTCTTGCAGTTGCTGCAGTCGGGCACATCACAGCCGGAGCTCGATACCATCGCTTGCTACTACTTCGATGGGCAGGGCAAGGCGCTGCGTCCCATGGTGACCATGCTGATGGCCAAGGCACTGAATTATCATCTGAACAACGAGTCACAGTAAGTTAGTTGGCTCTGTCTGGCACACTTTTGTTGAGCAGTGTAGTGATTAGCAGGCCTTTGCGAAATGTGCACATTCTCTGCTGTCGTCTATGAACAACAATTAAAGCCAAATTATAACAACATACATACTTATTAAACATTTATATTTACCCATTGACGTACCCTTGACAGCCAATTAGTACACAAGCAACGACAGATAGCCCTCTTCTCCGAGATGGTGCACTCGGCCAGCTTAGTCCATGACGATGTCATCGATCAGTCGGACTTTCGGCGCGGCAAGCCCAGCGTTAATGCTCTATGGAATCACAAAAAGGTAGGCTATCAGATCAACAAATACATTTTCATTGGCCAAATGCCAGTCAGCCAGCCAGCCAGCCAGCTGAACATGAATTGCTTGGCAAACTAATTTCACGCCTCTGCAACTCTGTCAATATATAACAAATTAAATTGTGTTAAGACTTTGTCAACAGGTTGCATCATTTGACGAGCCCAAAAGCCACAAAGCTCACAATAATGAACTGCGCTTTTCCGTTAAATCTTTAAGTTTTCAAATTGGTTTTGTTCAGCTCAAGACCTTAAGTCAAAAGCATCAATCCGAATAAATAATTAACGTTTTGTGTGTTGATTTCATCGACAGCTTCATCTTGTCTAGCAACGATGGCATTTGTCGAAATCGTTAACTGCATATTTGTCCACAAATATATATATATATAATACCCGATTGCCATCTTCGTCATTGTCTTTGCAGGTCACAATGGCTGGTGATTACATTTTGTCGATTGCCTCGATTATGATATCGCGCCTGCGCAGCGATGACGTGACGATCGTCTTGAGTCAGGTAAGTTAAGCTCATCTGCGCACTAAACCGAATTTGAATTGATTAAAATTGCACTGTCACTGAAGCAACTTATATAGAGGAGTACGATCAAGCATTACAGGGTATTTTAAGAGAAGTCTCCCACCAGAATGCATTTAGATGCAAAATAAAAAAGTTATATTCAATTATATCAAAAATAAATATGTATAATTAGCGAATATAAGACGTCAATGAGCCCACGTGTCCCCGTCCTTGGGTTATTGAAGTCATCTCAAATTTTATTTACATAGATAAACATGAATAGACGATCAAATCTGTGATTCAGTCAGATGAACGACAAACAGCTTACATCAAAGTTTCCATTCATTTTATGGGTTTTGTCAATCTCGTTATTGCCTCTGCAGACTCTAAATCTCATTCTGTCTTTGACCTGTTGCAGTATATTGATCAAAACTTAAGATCTATGTCTCTGTGACCTTATAAACTATTTAATTTAAAGCTCACGTCAGGCTGGAATTCTGTTTGTTGTTCAGTCAACATCAGGCTAGCTCCATTAATGTATTATCTGGCTATAATGTATGAGTGGATGAGTCAAGCAGTTGGCACATGCGAGAGTATTTAATCGTCTAGAAATCTAGAATGGTTTGTTTCACAAGTCTTCGTTATTATAGTAAATATAAATTGAGTTTATTCATTTTTATGTTAAGACTCTGCAAAAATCCTAATCTGCGGTCGAGAATCCAACGGAAGAAATCCCGTGAAGTCGTGTTTAGTCGCTGGGGTTTACAAATTCCAAGACTTCACACGCGTTGCGAGCAAACAAAAAAACGAGTAAGAACGTGGCAGTCGGGCGTAGCCGACTGCACAACACTCGTTCATGGTTATTACAAAAAGTGGAAGCTAGACAAGCTGCCACAGGGAACATAGATCAACCTTCAAGACTTGTGGAAGATATGCGTTTTCAAACAGACAGTCGAATACATATTTGAAATGCTTTAATTGTGCAAGCCAATATACCCTTTCGATCCCGTGAACGAGTATTAAAACTTGCAAAACGAAAATCAGTCTGGCGGGTAAACAGTTTTAAATTAAGAAAGTTGTTCGGTTCGTCCAGCACTTCTTTGTTTCCATGGAAAAACCTGTTCGGTAATTGTCCACAAATCACAGGGACTGTTCGGCTTTACTTCCTGTAACCCTGGAATAGTTTAAGGCAAAGGCGAAGGGCACTTAATCGCGAGTTCATCGCAGCCTTCACTTTTTGCAATTTACATTCACAATGGATACCTGTCTGAGGCTTATAAACGTATAAATGAATGTAAGCCAGGTGCTGCTTGGCTACTAACTACTAACTGCTGTGCATATTACATTTACAAGATTCCGGACTCAGGCATGCGACAATCACTTCTCAAAGACAAATCACTCTCGCAGTCTGATTTCTATGAACTTCAAATTAGTCAGCTGACAATTTCACTTTCAGCTGCGAGAGTGAAATTGGAGCTGGCCTTAGACTGCCACCTCGGTAAAATGAATCGTCTCTTATACAATCGAGCTGCGAGCTAATAGCCAAAGTAAATAACAAGCCGTGCTCGCGTTGGCCTCAAATCTGTGGGCATCATTCGTGCTCTATACCCTGTACATCTAGAATCGAGTTATGTGAGACTATTTGTCTGCTTAACTGTGTTAGGAGTTCACTCCTCAGACTTATTTTGTACATATGTGTGCTGTGCTTTACAACACTTCAGACTTGCATGTGTCATGGGTATCTTTCAGTCGTATACTCTCTGCGAAATATGCAAAAGTATTTTATTTCGGGATTTTTGCTTTGTGGTCACAATTTTCAAAGATGACGAGATCAAAGGCAGTTAAATCTGATCTATTGGCAACAAGGGAGCGGCTTAAGATATTTACAAAAAATATCAAATGCCGAAGTGTCTACCAAGAGCATACATAAAGCCGTCGTATATTAGCATATTAAGTAGTTTTACTTATCGAAAACATTTCACAATATTAAGCATACGACCCATGCGTTTGACAAACACGAAACCAGTTCTTAACTTAAACTAATCGAAGTCTTCAAATCGAAGGCCCGGAGTGTTACAGCAAAAGTTTCAAATGAAAGTGCTTTAATTGAAGTTGACGAATGGAAAACAAGCTGGAAAATTATTTGGTGCTTGGAATATATTCTACAGAATTAAGTATACGAATAATCAATTGTGTAACGAAAGCATAGTTAGAAACAAAGTCCTTTTGCCAGCTTCTTAACTACTTTCTATACAGTAATAACATAAATAATAATAATAAATATTTGACATATTGAAATTGCTGAAGAACTGCTCTATATCCCCCACTCTCTCTCTCGTCTCGAAGAGTGGGCCTAACGCAAGTTTCAGATTTGATTTCAAACCTCTTCTGATTCACCATCAGTAAATGCTATTGGCCTTTCTAATTGTAATTTAATAATATAACAAAAGTCTAATGAAGCACACTTATTCTTTTAGTAAAGGTAGATTAGCATTTGATATGGGATAGTTTTTGTTTATTTGTTTGTTATTCTGTTGAAGACTTTTGTTTATCTTAGCATTAAGCTGGGACTGTTTAGCATTTTCTTTCATCTACGACGACAATATTTTGGGAGCTTTATTTGATATGCTGAACACGTGTCTGAATAATTTCAACGGCTTCAAACACGTTGACGGCATTATATTATTGGTAGCTGTCCCGCCTGGAATTAGAATTTACTGTTCTTTCTAAATAGTGGGTTAAACCAGTCCGTTATTGAAATAAATGCTTTGCCAAGCATTAAAATATGGCGGACTTTTAAGTCAGTGAGACTAGAATTATATAAAGACTAAAAGAATAGTGTGCCCTGACTGAGCTGCAAGCCAAGAAGAGGCTGCGAGGGTAGACTGAGAGCAACATGTTGTTAGTCCAATGGGTATACATAGCTAATTGAATTCCCGCTTCGGAATGCTTGACGGCTGCCTTGAAAGATACTAAAACATCAACAGCAGCCTTTGTACTCGTCCCTAATATCGTTGTTGAGTTGTATTTTTTCCGCTGTTCAATGACACTCGACGACACGCAAAAGCTGCTCACAATGGAAATATCTTTGATTGAAACTGATTTGGCGCAGCGTTTCAAATGAAACAAAATCAAATACAAATAAAAGTTCGCGCTTATTTTGTGGTTAAATGAAAAATGTTGTCAGCAAGTGCTTAAAAGGCTTCAGCGGCAATTTGTAGCTCTTTCATCGTTGTTGCTGTTGCTCTCATTGTTGCTAATGCCAATGCTGTTTTTTTGGTACACACAAGTCGCACTTATTTCGGCCGCATGTGTTAATTAGTTAACATTGAAAGCCAACATGTTGTTTTACTTCTAATGCAAACTCTAAAGAAAAAAGAAGCAGATAAAACGAACAACTAAAATGTGCATAAGACGAGCCAATTGGCTGGGATTTATCATATAGTATATATAGAGCCCGAGCCAAGTCTCCGGCTGTCACCTTGGTCTCCTTAGCAATCAGCAACCACGACTGACATATCATCGCCCCCATCGCTAGGCACATACATGTGCCAATGTACTATTCATAGATCTATGCGAAGCTTGGAATCAGATACAATCTTAGGCATGGACGGCTTTAGACTACCTTCCCGTTTGTTTGTCCAATATTTTGACAACTGACTGCGAAATAGCCAAGAGTGATGAATGAATGAAAATACTTATGCGCGTATCGCAGACGGCAAACAAAATCTCCAAATTAAGCGAAGGGCGCGCCAACATTTCTTGTACAAATAAAAATGGCAGCTATGCTGCGCGGGTTACTCATAAGGTACTGGCCTGATCAATCATATGTATGCGTGCTAATATATATTCCTTGAAAGTACTACTCTAACTCTAATAAAATTCACATTATTTTAGGAACTTCATTAGTGAAACTTCTAAATGTATAAAGAGAGAAAGATAATAGATAACGCCTCGAGTTGCCCTCGCATGCGTTAGCCATGCACATATCTTTCGCGTAGCAACAACCATCCTGGCTAGAGTCTCAATGAAACTGTATTTGCTTAGATCATTTGGCACATCTGTGTTTGCCCTTTGCATTTGAACAGTAAGCCATGCGGAAGTTACCCGCCAGTATCTGTGTACATATGGATCTATGTAAACTGCAAAAATAGCCTCAGCTGGCAAAACCCAACAGAAATCACAATTTTTGCTTGTCTTTTAATTGATTCACCCACCTTGTTAGTGTTTATTACTCTGTTCACTGCCTGAAGACGAGTATATTTGTTGGCAATAGAGTCTCTGTCTCTGACTATGGACTAGAGCTTGTCTCGAGTTCTCTTTGAACTAGACACAGATAGATCCAAAATTGATCCATTGCCTTTTATCTATTTCAGATCTTAACCGACTTGGTTCAAGGTGAATTCATGCAGCTGGGCTCGAGGGAAACGGAGAATGAGCGTTTCGCGCACTATCTGACCAAGACATACAGGAAGACCGCATCGCTGATTGCCAATGCACTGAAGGCGGTGAGTAAGCCCGGCCATCGACATGCAAATCGAATCGCAATAGCCATAGCAATAGCAATTGCATTTCAAATTGCAGTAGCAAATGTTTATGCGAATGGCTGTGCCCGAGTGCGTTTGTCATTGTGCCCATTTGGATGGCCGGAGTTGATTGGCCAGCGACTGACTTTGAGATATTTGTTTTTGTTCTTCGCAGACCGCCGTTATCGCCCAGGCCGATGATAATGTTGCGGAGGTGGCATTTCAATATGGACGTAATATTGGCCTGGCCTTCCAGCTGGTGGACGATATGCTGGACTTCGTCTCTTCCACGGAGCAAATGGGCAAGCCAACGGCAGCTGACTTAAAACTGGGCCTGGCCACAGCGCCGGTTCTCTTTGCATGCGAAAAGGTGAGCCGCCGACAGACTTCCTTATTGCTGTGACAACAGCCTGACTGCGAAGTACATACATAAATTCCAAACACTGCGAATACAACTGACGGCAGCTGTTAATTGTCCAGAACTGTGTTTGCATTGCTGTCTATGTGCATTTCCCACTTAAGCAGCATGGTGTCCGATGATATCATGCAGCTAGCTGGGAGTATGGCATCGCGTGCCATGAAATGCGTTTCTATGGTGTTTTCGACTCAGTTTAATATGCGAAGCGTGATAAACGCGCGCGTGCAATGCGTTCAAAGCAGCAAACAGTGGCGATCTCTGCCGATCAGTCGCGAGCTTAGTTGGCCAGTTAAAAAGTAAAAACTAGCCATATACATGCGTATCATGAGGCCATAGAGACTAATGCTAATGTGTCTGATAGTTTGCATTGGCATTCAAGCCTCAAAACCGTCGCACCTGCGCGTGGGGATGGCGCTCCAATAACGATGGCTTAATTCGTTTGGAATTTCTCATTTGTCTGTTTCAGTATCCCGAGCTCAATCCGATGGTTATGCGTCGCTTCAGCGAGCCGGGCGATGTGGAGCGGGCCTTTGAGTTGGTTCATAAATCACACGGACTCGAGCAGACGCGTTTCCTGGCCAAGAAGCACTGCAATGAAGCGATACGGCTGGCACAGGAGCTGACGGAGTCCCCCTACCAGAAGGGCCTACAGGTTGTCGCCGACTTAGTCATCAATCGCATGAAGTAGGAGTCATCCAGCATACATACACATATACAAATTAATATATATACACATGTAATATTAAGTTAGAAGCAGGCAGGCAACACGTAATGAATGCTAGATAAGTCAGCAAATGAGAGAAGCAAGCAAACATTTGTAAAAAGAAACTAGAAAATCTACAAAACACAGAAGCAAAAAAAAACAAAACAAAATTTATTATTTAGTTTTTAAGCATTGTTATTGACACTGTAAATAATTGCATCAAATGTACACAGAAGAACATTGTAACAAATTTACAGACCGAAAACGAATAACTCACTACGTTTATATATATATACATATATATGAACAATTTGAAATGAATTTTTAATAAACTGAATATGCAATGATTTTGAAGTTTTATACGTTTGTTAAGAAACACAAATTTGTAAAATATGATGAGAAAGAAAAGTGAAGAAGAAAGTGAATTGAAGAACTTGAATTGCATATTTATGGAGCTATTAATTGTAACAATCCTTGTTCATCTTTAGAGTCAGTGAAAAGTTAATCAATCAAAATGTTTATTAGTCAATGCAACAAACGATATTTATGTAGAGAGCAGTGCTTAATGAATTACCCTTAAATTTATGTATAATTTTGATTTGTTCTTCAGACATTTCATGCCCAAATGGTTCAATCACTTTGCAACGCGTTCGGACAGCACAAACCTATTGTAATTTATATATACTTTCGTTTCTTTACACATTTTGTATCTTCTTACTAATTTAAATTTAATTGAGCTTTGAACCGTTCGTGCATGAAATGCACAACATTCTTATATAATCCCCACTAATTGTTAAGGTTGATCAGGAAAATAATAACTCATTTAAACAATGCTGCCCCAGTCTTAATTTAAATATGTTTTTATTTTGTGCCCAACAATGTAAGAAAACTAAAAACAATCTTGGTTAAACTGATTGAATTAATTGTAAATTTATTTAAGAACTTTTCTAATTTATAAACTAATTTCAATCCCCGTTTCGGTTTTCGAAGTAGTCTCGTTAAGCCAAAGGCACCTTTACAGCCGTGTTAAGCGAACCCCATTTCACTAGAGATAGACTACATTTGCATAGTTGATAAAACAGTTTGGTGCTCGGGTAATTGGTCAGAATAAATGTGCAAATATTGTTGACAATGTTTTGATAATGATAATTATATTACGGAATTTGTATATTTCAATAGTTGAATAAAATGCAATTTTGTTAAGCAGACGAGTCGATAGTCAATCAAAGAATAAATCAAATTAATAAAAACAACCTCTACAGCGTCTCACTGCTAATTACCAACCCAGCTGGAAGGCTCTCGCTATGGCTCACATTGGCTTCAGGGACGGAAATTCATGTTTAGCTGACATGAGGACAGACGGGGCACACAGCTGGGCTCGGCTTGGCAAACATCAACAAGTTAGCCGAGGCTCCTTAATTGGGTTAACGTTAACTATAAAGGGCCGCACGCAATATTGCAACGCTCCAGCTCGTAGCCAATATTGATAGTTTTGGCAACTTTCTATTTAAATACAAAAACCGCACGAATCTGGGTAAATTGGGGCAACTGGGCCATAGTTGAGCCGTTGAACAAAAAGCCACAGCTCGCATAGTTTACAATAAAATAAATTTATTTTATATCCAAGCCTCGCCCAGAACCACTCGAGCCGCTGGCGGAGAGCAAACAGCGGCGGTTTGCCTAACTGCAAAAATATTTAAATGGCGAACGAGTTACGCAAATGAAATGCAATCCTGGCCTGACTTAACAAACAACTTCAAGGACATACGCGCAGCGCGCGCTCACGTGCAGTCTGTGCACCGCCCTAACCTAGACTATAAATAACTAGCTGGCTAGCGACGCTGCCTAGACAACCAGAGTGGTTGGGCAGGCCGAAAGGTGAGCCCAATAGCCGTGCCTGGCACGGATCAGCGCGGCCCAGGCGACGGCCAACTCGACTTGGATGTCGAAGGTTTGGGTTTTCCACGGCACTGTTTCAGTAGCGCGTCATTTGCCGAACGAGGCGATACTTCCGCTTCCCAGCTGCTCCCCAGGATGACAACTAGCGATGAGATGGGCACCTTCTGCCACGACCACATTCAACATCCGCTGATGTGGTGCGACGACAAGAAGCGCCTGGTCGAACGCAAGAATGCCGAGGAGAGTCTACGAATGTGGCGTCGTCGCAAGGCAGAGGAAAGTGCCCGCAAGGAAAAGGATAAGCAGGAGGTAAATACCTAAACTCAATTATTGCAGAATTAGATTTCCTTAACATTATGATTCACACTGAAAACAATGACATTATTTACTCTGTAAAAGTAAGCTTAATATGAATCAACTGAATCCATATCGAATGCTTTAGTGCAATCTAAGCCTTAATAGGAATAAGCTATATATACTCCTGTGGATTTGTAGGCGCCTGTAAGAGGCGTGGCAAATCTCAAAACAACAGTTTTAGAGCAATAAGCTTTCAAGTTTGACAATTGAACTTTGACCTCCTCAAATATTTTAGCAAAATAAATTTATGTGAGTTATTCGAAACAAAGGCAGTGCCTTCCTCAGCTTTGGAGCTTAAGCCCAACTGCTACCATTCTTAATAATCATTTACAAGTTAATTTAGTAAATTAGTATTGTTTAAAAAATGATCAAAAATTGAAACTCTACTCTGATAATAACACAATGTCTATATTTTGTAATTAATATTCCTTAACAGTTGAAGAAAACATTTTCATTTATTTATTTATTATTTTTACGAATATTGTTTTCTTTAAATTACAACTACAACTTCCAAGCAGCTTTAGGGAATTTATTTATTTATTATTCATTATTAAAAGCATCTATGGTTGCCTCATTTTAAATACTATTATTCGGCAGCTGATTGACTTAAAAAAATTGGCTCAGAGCTGAGAGGCAAGTAAACAATTTGTTAGTGTCTGACTCAGAGAGTCCTAGGCAAAAGACATTTTCGTGTTTGGCAATCGAGAAAGTTGTACTCCGAACAATTACTTATTGTGTATCCTAAATTTAAATTCTATTATAAAACAGTCCGAGCTGCCCACAACAATAAAATAAAATAAAATTAATATAGAACGAGTTCAAGCAAGATATAACAAAGTTAGGCAAGTGCAGATAAATATGGAATCTGCGATATTTATATCTGTTCCCTCAGCCTCACGCGAACACATAGATTTGCACTCTTAAATAACGTGTTAGAGATTCATGTGCAAGCTTCATAATATTATAAATTAGAACAATCAAATATGTTCGAGACCCTCAACATCTTGGATGTGCAACCAGAAAACCTTATCTGAGAAGCAAATCAAAACAAAACAAAATCCTTTTAGGCAATAGAAGAAACTCAATTTAAAATATCAGCGCGGATCTATTAGACCTAACCCATAAACAGTTTGATCTGCTATTAGTGTAAGTATTATTTATTAGTTCTAAAAAGTTTAAAATTGTATTCAAGGCAATAGATAAATGGAAGGACCATTGACGTGGTTAGTCTTACCTCAAAGCAGACTTACTTAGTAAACTTTTTTTTGACTAACAGCAAATTACATTGAAATAGTTATATAAATTTAAATATCTATTTTTTCTGGTTAGAGTATATCTCTTTGCTCATATTTAAGCTAAAAGACACTCAGCCGGCATCTCGGTGATAAGTAGACAAGATAAGATTCTTTACTTAACAACACGCCCCAGTGGGCGTGAATACATACGTTTTGGATACATACCTTTATGATTCCACAACTATGGCATATATATTCCAAAAGCCTCTAGTTTCTCTAGCAGAAAACAGTTTTCCGTTCATACGGACGGACCTGCTGGTCGGTCGGACGAACGAACGGATGGACGGACGAACGGACATTGGACAAAACCAACATACCCGTGTAGATTAAGCAAACTAACAGCAATTGGATAAGTTGGGTCTGGTTATAGCTTACTTTTCTCAAATGTTATCAAATTTGTTTGGCATGGAATCTTCACAAAAAATAAGTTTTTGCACCCACGCTGAAGTCGAGTTCAAAGACCTGCGACAAGCAAATGTAATAACTTAGCCAGAATTTGGTTCAACAAACCATTTGACAAGTTTGACTTTGCCAATACGTAAGTAATCAAGGCAAGCAGTGAGGCAGAAGCAACATTGTCGGTCACTGAGCTAAACTGGCATCAGTTCGCGTGCTTCTGACTGTGAATGTGACTTAAATCCAGCGGAATTTCAGTTGGCAAATAAAAATGGGTGAATGAAAAGCAAACCGCACCACCTTGCAACTATAACAACAACCTACAAACAAAGGTGGGAGCTTGGGCATTGTCAATTTCCGTAAACAAGCGGAAGGATGGAGGCAGGGATAGAACGAGCCAGGTTCCGTGCCGCGCCGAATATAGGCTGCGAGCAAATCGATAAAGTCATAAAGCCATAAATGGACACACAATACGTATGACTGTTATCAACATCTCTGTGTTTTTCGCAGTACTACGATTTGTTTCTGCAGCACTGCCCGTGGGGCAGGCCAGGTGGCGGGGCGCCCAATGTGGAGGTGCGACGTAAGGACATTACCGCAGTCGGACTGCACTCGACGCCCACAGTTGTAAGTTGTGTGCTGCGGCGCGGCCCGTGCTTATATAATGCGTACCATTTCTATGCCTCAGACGACCGCCCATCGCATCAACTCGCTGCAGCCTTGTCGCTACAATGACTACTTCACCATGCAGAAAAAGTGCCACAAAAATCCATTGGCCGCCTATCATCATCATCATCACCACCATCCGCCGCCGCCTGTGGCGGGCAGCCGCCTTACTCACGCCCATTCAATTCATCATCTGCAAGAGAGCGGCCCTCGGAGTAGTACTGTGACCATCTGTGAGCGGGAGCATCCGCTCAAGCCTGGCGCCAGCCTGGGCCACAATGCCAACGGTGAGAGTGTTCACATCGAACTGAAAGAGCATCCCTCAATGTCATTTCGCAATAAAGGGCACGTGGACATTGAGCTGCGCTACAGGCCCTCGCCGCCCTGCAAGGGCAAGTCGATGCTCGACAAGATTGTGGTCAACAGTGAGAGCGAGCACCCGCTCCAGGAGAAGCTGGCGAACCAGAAGAAGAAGTTGCAGGCGAAGCTGGAAAAGCCGGTGAGCGGCAGCTACTATCCACGCTTACGCGGTCCTATTAATCCCATTTCCCATTGCCCAATTTCAGCCCTGCAAAGAGCCGTGGGGCAAGGCCGGCCCGGGTGGCAAGCCGTGGCGCAGTCCCAAACAAGTAGGCAACACTTTTATGAAGTCGCTGGTGAGATCCATGACAAGTGAGCAGAGTTTATTGGATTGAGATCATTTTGATTGCAGGGCTGGACAAACAAAGAAATGCTTAAGGAGCTGGACCAGGACAATCCGGTGACCCCCGCTGAGAAGAACACGTTCCGCAAATCGAGAGTTAACAAGCCACCTAAGCCGCAGCGCTGTTGCGAGCTATGCACCTGCACCTGTCCCGCCATGAACGGCTCCAATAGTCCTCTAAAACCATCCAGAAAGACACCAGCGCCGCCTGCGTGTGGCCTGCGATCCCCGCCCAAGGAGTGCAAGCCCCTCAAGCTCTGCCCCCAGCTGCCTCGCGGTCTCTGCGCGGGCAGCACCGGCAACAGCACCTCGATAGCTACGCCGGATGGCAACATGGACAACGGCGGAGGGGGCGTTGAGCTGGTGCCATTGCTGGCGCGCAGGCGCGGACTGCACCGACCCATCAGCCTCTCCAGCACGGATGTGACCAAGAGGACGCCCTCGCATGATAGGTACGCACCACCCAAGCACAAGACAAAGTCCAACAAAGAGCAGAACATCAGTAACATCATCAAAAACATTAGTCACATCAAGCGTCATTCCAAGAATCTCAACTGCAAGCTGCAGTGCTGCAGTTGCAACTGTGACAAAGCCCCGCCTCGAGCACCAGCCTGTTGCCTCAAGCGTCTCACCCTGCACATACGTTAGTCCTGGTCCTGGTCCAAACTGTTGTATCTGTGTATCTTTGTTGTCTTTGTGTTTGCCCATGTAGCTGTCTCGTATATCATTTTCATGATTTCCCGATTCGATCTCTGTGTTTGCACCTGCATCATCTGTTTCCGTTTGCATTAACATTTCCGTTTTACTCATTTGCTTGCTCTGCGAAAATATCAAATTTGAGCTGAGCTGAGCTGAGCTGAGCTGGGCTAAGCTGAGCTGAGCTGAGCTGAATGTAATTTGCAAATGATTGCGTCATCTTTGTGTTTATAATGGTTTCTCTATCACTTCTTTTGGCTCATCCAGCAAGAAAATATCAATTGTAATACAAGTGAAAGTATAGCAACCAAAAGAGCAAACCCAAACTCACCAAAACTAACTGAACAACCAACCACAAATATCCAAATGATAATGCAAATCTTCTATGTATCCCCGTGCAAAAACGTTTGCAAAACCGAAACCCAAACCGAAACCCAAACCGAAATGATTACTTTGAAAACAAACAACTGATCTATCGATACAACAACCAACAATCAACAATGTAATATCAACTTTGATCGACCCACAACCGGGGCATCCGTGCAGGATACAAACGGCCGCCGATATGCGCTATCTGCACGATTTGAATGTGCAAATTTCACAGAAACGGCGCTCGGTCAGCGTCTCGAGGCAGAGAGACCGAGACTTGTGCAATCAGCATTTCGACACATTCGAAACGTTTTGGGGACGGCCCGGTCACGGGGCACCCACTGCCGACAAGATAAACAAATTAAAGCTGGACAATTTACTATATGGCGCCCCTGAATCACCGTAAGCTGTCGCTAGCTGAGCCAGCAGAGACAGTTGAGACAGCTGCGACAGCTGTGGGAGGCACTCGATTCGCATTCGGCTCGTAGTTTGTTCGACGCAAATAGTTTGCTCTGAAATCAATCGATGCCTTTTCATTATTTTTGGCGCCATCATTCAGCAGAAGTTTTGACGAAAAGCTGCACTGAAAATGAAAATTTTGCCAACTTGCCAAGTTCGTAAGTTGACCAAAGTTTTTGCCTTAGTCAGCTAGGTCAGGCGGACACAACAAATGGCACTGCCTGTCCCTAAGAATGCTCGATTGTTAGTCTTTAGAATTTAGTTAGATTTTCTATTTTAACGGAAACATCGAACATTTAACGTTCGATTATGTAAAAACTCCAAATACATATACATTTATATATATATGTCATATATGTAGTGAAAATACTGTGTAAATAAAATGCATATTACAAATGAATTCGGAATGTGTTTGACTTTTAGCTTTGTACAGTTACTCTCAAACCAACTGCGCGTCCGTTACTTTTATAGCAAGCTTAGCTGCCAAAAGTGCTTCTTCAACTGTTAAGCTTTCCACAGTATGCATCAAACTTTATAGTACGATGAATCATTTGTTTGATTTCAAATACTAAATCTAAATTTATGTCAAAAATAGTTTATGGAAAATTTGTTTTTTCATTTATCATCATTTATTTAATTTCTAATATTTTTTAATTTTCTATATTTATTTGTCAGTTTCGTGAGCGGTTTCAAAGCTTATTTATACCATTCAAAAAATATTTGAGCTTTAGATTTTCTGACCTCACCTCAATATTATATATGCGGCAAACTAATATTACTTAATGTATTTTTTGAAATGGAAGGCAAAGAACTACACTAATTTTGTTTCTAGTCAATTTTTTGGAATGAAAGTGAAGTAGGGTATGCTCGCCTAGGAGTTACCTGTACCATATGCCACAATGACATGCGCAGGCAACAATTATAACTAAATTCCAATTTTGCTGACTTACTCATTCAATCTCTGGTAATGATGATATGATGATATTGATAATAATATAATATAAATATAATCTTTCTTTAACAATGTCAATGACTAAACTCATCAAAGATACCAGAAACCAAATATTTTGATTAAATTAAAGTAAAAAGTTTAGGCACACATCTTTTATGTATAGCGTTAAGAAACTCTTTTAATAAGATAACTTGCCCGATCTGCCTTTATTACCACATAAGACTAGACATTTGTATAGAGTATGCATAAATCACATAGGGCTAAAGTCACACTGCCATCGAATACGTGATCAATGAAGATGCCAGCGAACACTCAAGCTCAAAGGAGAGCAGCGTGTGCGGCGCATTATGCAGCTGCCACAAAAGCCCGCCAGGACATGGCGTGCGCTTTGACAATGTGATAGATTAGGAGATAGATAAATATGTATTTGGCATAGAAAGCATTTGCGAATACACCAAATCATCGATGCATTTATGAAAATTTGAATAGTTCTTCCCGGTTCTGTGCTGCCACTCGCTCCCATGAGAGCAAGTTTCATTGATGTCAATAAGACAAGACAAGTCATGTTTCGAATAGCTACTACAATATCCTACAATATATAATGAGTTTTGAAAGATTTTATGTCTGTTCTCTCACTATCGACACCTAACTGTGCCTTGTGTAACTGGAAACTCTTTTTATTTAAAATGAATATTAACTTTCTACAAATTACGTAAGGCTATTTACTATGGTCTAAGTTGTTTAGCCAGGCTCAACATGGATGTATTTTGCCCCTAAGCAAGAAGCTAATGATTTGTGCTATGCGATTAGTAATTTAAAGGTATTCATTTAAATATTAAAGCAAAGATCCTATGCTGCAGTATATCAAGTTTTAAAACGCTGTCAGCCTTGATACGTTGACAGACACTCACATGCTCTCAATTGGAGTCGTCTTTCTCTCGCTGTGTGTCTGCCTCTTTCTAGCCTGACAAAGTTTAAAGTAAAGACCCAGCTGCCGTTGAGCTGAATACATCCAAAGTGGGCAAACAGCCCTTACAAATGCCAGGTCACGTTTTGGCCATTTATCACTCTTATTTGAGCTGTTATATTAGATACTCAGATAATATTCATACATACATACATTTATCTATACATATGTACGTGTGTGTGCTTGTGTCATGTACTGCAATACACATATACAAATATGTAATTCTACATTTTACAGTTATAAAAACATGTCCTAATGCTCTTAGGCTCGCACGAACAGTTTACAATTTCAGATAAAATTTAAATGTGGCCACAAGTTATTCACCAATTTGTTAAGGAAATTAGTATTAATACATAATTATAGCTTAAATAGTATTATATTGCTATATATATATAAGTGTGTGCCTAAACTGTGTCGAAGACTTGCAGTAGGCTGACCCCATGACGTCTTTGGCTTTGTATTTGAGGTTCTTTAAGAGCACTAAAAATTTATATTTAAAATATATATATTTATATTATATATTATATATTTATATTATATATGCAACTTAATATAACAATCCTTATCATATTTTCAAATTTTCTTCTTCAACAATATATCGTCTTTTGAACCAACTAATCAAGGGACCAACGTCTTCCCATCTCTCTCTCTCTCTTATCCCTCTCTTTCGGCTGTTCTCCTTATTTTAGCGAGGGAAAAGTAGTGCAGTTGCAGCTACCTTTAGTTTTAAATATATATACTAACATAGCGACTCCATCCCATTCAGAGCATGTAATCTTACTTAAGTGTTAGCAATGTAACTTCCTATAGAGCAGTTAGCTTAACATATATGGAAAATATTGCAATTGTCAAACAGTTTTCGGCTTTTATTTGACGAAAAGTGCAGCTGATGGACAGCAATTTCAACGCGAAACGTATAAGAAATATATATAGATAGATAATGTAAGTACTATAATATATTTTCAATAAAAGCATGCAAGTGCTGGATCCGACACCAGCGAAGGAAGGCCAATAAAGTTTGAAGATGCTGAATAAGCGGAGTCTCTGCTTTTTTGGCTAACATGAAGGGCAGACTCAATAAACTATCAGAGGCGCAACACTTGATACTCAAACTGCAAACTAACAAAACTACACAGTGAAAACTTTATTACATCCACTTCTGGTCGGGCATAGCCGACTTTCTCAGCAAGTTGTGCACAATTCTCTTATGAGAGATAACGAGTTTTAAGACCCAAAGCAAATCTGTCAAGCTTGAATATACAAATGCTGAGCTTGATTTGGAAGCCCAGCACTAATGTTTTTTAAACTAAATACTATTGTCAGCGCAAGGGAAATAGCTACGATTTGGCTTAATTGTCAATCTAATATCAGAGACCGAGGTAATTAAATATTTTGCAACTGAACTTGCTGTGCGATTTCGGTTTGCAAATGTTACACGGGCTAATTAAAACCGGGCACATAATTAACATGTGTGTTGCCTTAGCAAAGCTCGGAATATGACACGCAAAGGACTGCACCAGCTATTCGAATCGTTGGCTAAAAATAGGAGAAGACCGAATTAGCCATTTTCAGGTAACTATAATTAGGTATCCGGAGAGAGTTTCGGTAGCAACAGTCATCGCTGTTGCCACTGTTTCAGTTTAGTTCCAATTGTCAGCGCTTGCTGCAGGACAAACTCGGATCCTGGCCTTTAATTGGGCTGGCTGGGCTCATTGCAGGCTTCCGAGTTTTGGCAAGCTGAAACTGGCATTTAATTGGCAGCAAAAAGTGCAGACTCAGCTCAGGTACATACAACGGAATTATTTGTTAATATTAGCCGTGCGCCACGTAAAAGGCCCTCGGGAGAGTTCGAGTCAATGACTGTGTGAGGCCTTTTGGGGAATTTGTGAAACAGCCATGTGGCACGGCTGCTTTTTGTCAAGCCAACTCAAACTCTGAAGGCAGATAAGGATGAAAGCCGCCAGTGAAGTCTCAAAGCGAGCCTCACAGCTCAGAGCACACAGCTCACAGCATTGTTTGCCTTTGCGTCGTTCAATTCGAGCAATTTGTCTACGGCACATTCTTTGGCCGAGCTCGCATTTCTATGCGCCTGCCTTTGACATGGGGCTAGTGCAAATATTTTCCAAATTTTGCTATCCCATTGCTAATGGGAACGAATTAAATATGCGACCAGAGCATTTCGCTGGACATATTTGTCTGGCTGGCTCCGAATTTCTTGCTACGGCACTAGTGATTCGTAAATTCCGCTCTGCGGCCTCAGGCAAAT